GGGCGTGTGTGTGTCTGTGTCTGTGTGTGTGTGTGTGTGTGTTCCAGTAGTTTGTGGATGAACTGTGATTAAAGGCTACAGATGGTGAGGTACAAATCTCCTGTCAGAAGTGCTGGTAGGATTATGGCTCAAGCACGCATGTGCAGAGTCTCTCAAACGAGCATATTAGACGATTCAAAAGAAGAAACTGAGCAGAATGAAAATAATCACCGCAAGGAAGTGATTCAGTGTGTTAAACCCTCTGAGATTTTACATTTCCTCCATTCATCTCCTCAGATGCACTTTCTAGTGTACTTCAGTATAGTCTGCTCTGTACATGCATGCATACTATGTCATGATTTTCATTCAGATGAATTCAGTTTATGGGCATTATGCTTTTTAGCATCAAAAAATCTTGTGATTTATTCTGTTTCTCTGTGCCACTAGCAGCACTAAACAGAACTGCAGTCTGATTGATGAAGCATCCTGATGGGATTTACATACGAACACATTCTCAAGCAGGCATGACTTTAGGACAGGATCACCTGCGTGTTTTTCTGATGCTGATAGAGGCTCAGAAATCACACACTTCAGCTCGACACAAAAACTCAATTACACAATAAACGTAGCTATACCTGACTTAGGCAACCCATTAAAAGAAGTAAATAGAGTTAGTTGTGTTTCTGTTGGGTTAATTTGGATTAGTAACAGGGAATCGGTGCCTTAAATCAGAAAGAGATCCAGTTATGATACAGTAATCTTAATCTTTAGCATAGATTGTGTTTGAGGTAAATTATTTATTAGGCTTATAATATAATATATAAAAAACAAATATTTTCAAACAACGTGAACATGTGAATTATTTTACGGTTATCTAAACATCCCCATGTAGTTTGTACACTACACCTGTGTGTGACTGTAAATGTCTCTGAGTTTTGTTACCATTCTGTGCCCATCATTTCCACCACTTAATCAAGCCACTTTTATTTAAAACATGATGACGTTTTATTTCACAAGTCATTACATTTGCGTTGGCTCTCGTGTTGAGCTGTTTCACCTCTTTCTATGAAACCTGTAAACCGCATTCACCGGTTCTAACTCTATAGCGACACCAACTCATTGCAATTATTTCACATTTCCTAGAATTCAATTAAATGGCGTCTGTCCTGTGTGCGGCATATTATTTCTTCTGCACGGTCGCGATGTAAGAATGCACAGCTGGAATGCAAGATGATCAGCTTCTGACACTGAGCATATGTGATGTACATAGCACGCTGCGGAGAGTAAATCCGGAGTGGCCCCAGACAGTGAGACCGGGCCCCTACACATCCTCCACCATCTCTCTGAGCACAGGTACACCACAGGGGTGTGTGCTCGGTCCCATCCAGTTCTCCCTCTTCACCCGCGACTGTGTTCCTGCATCTGACACCAACACCATAGTGAAGTTTGCAGATGACACGACTTTAGTGAGGCTGATCACAGACATTGACGAATCAGCCTATGGAGCGTTTGAGGAGCAACCTGTCTCTGAATACTGGGAAGACCGAGGAGCTCATCGTTGACTTCAGGAGATCCCAGAATCGGAATTATGCTGTGGTCTTCATCAGTGGAGAGGGTTCCCAGCATCCGTTTTTCTATGGGTTCACATCACAGAGGACCTTACCTGGACCACTAACACCACTGCACAAGTCAAAAAGACACAGCAGCGGGTGTATTTCCTGAGAGCAATGAAAAAAGCCGGACTGCCACAAGAACTGCTGGCAACCTTTTACCGCTGCTCGTGTTGTCTCCAGCGCACAAAGGATCTTCGGGATTCAACTACCAGCGCTGGAGGACTTATACAGTACACGGCGTCTCAGGAAGGCAGATAACATCTGCAAGGACCTCACACATCCTGGCCATCACCTCTTTGAACTGCTGCCATCTGACAGGCATCATAAAGCCATTTCTGCTCGCACAACCAGATTTAAGAACAGTTTTTTCCCCGGAGCTGTGGCCGCTCTCAATCAAACCTGAACTCACAATATCCACACTATCTGCCAACATATACTGTTTACATACAGTTCAGTACACATGAACATACGTGCAATACTGTTGTTGTCTTGCACTTCCCACTTTATAATAGTACATTGCTGCTACAGTACCATTTACACTGCTTATTCTGTATACATTGTTTACAGTTTACGCACACTTTTCAATGTGCAATATTACAAGTACTGCTTATGCACAATCACTTTATTACACTATACTGTTGCTGCACTACTGTTACGTTTCTACTGTTTAGTGTTTAGAATGTTTATACTGTTTATGTTTCTTTTATCTATTTTATTTTTTTTACTTATTGTTCTGTACTTATCTGGTTATCTGGTGTCTTAAAGAGCTGCTTTCGTTGTTCTGTTCCACTGGGAGCATACAATGACAATAAACATTCATTCATTCATTCATTTATTTGAACGGTTCAGTTGAGGCATCAGGGGTGCAATCGGTATATCAATACACAACCAGTTACATTTGTATCAACTCACAAATGCAACAAACATATACCACAAATATGTCATTGATCTCTCTGAAAATAGCAAATCCTGGGACATCAGAAACAAAAAACACACTTTAGTCTTTTAAAGAATATTGGAAAGTCGCTCATTAGTTCATTAATCATATTTCAGTCTATTGTCCTAAAATGTGAGCACAATTAAAATAAAATAAAATATAATCTAAAATAAATCTAGATAATCCCGTTGTTGAAAAAATGCATTTATACAGAAAAATCCAAAGAAATTTCAAAAATAAAGTAAAAAATGTATCAAATATTTAAATAAAGTATAAAAATATATATTCTTCTAGTATATTTTATAGATATATAACGCATATGTAGATTTTTTTTACATATTGCATTTTTGCTTTTATGCATTTTTACACATACATCATATCATTAGTCACTTGACTGATGCATCGAGCTATATTGATATTGTTGACGTGAGTTTGCGGTATTTGACTCTGAATGAAACTGACTCAGATACCCTTGTGTTGCAGGTGGCCATAATCTCTGGGAATTTCGAGTTGGCGGAGCTGATAAAGAAGCACAGAGAAAGTGACGTAGGTAAGAGCCACGAATACAGCGACTGCATCTGATTTAACAACCCCATATCAGAAACCTCCAGCAGAGCTCTATAGACAGCAGTGTGTGTGCAAATAAGGCACGTCTTAATGTGAAAGAAATGACTGGACTAATCCAAGAGCTGCAGCTAGGATTAAGAGCGATGCCGAGCCAGAGCTGCATTTAAGATATTCTCCTCTGAAACTGTGGGTTGTTTTCTGAGTGAATGGTTTTGAGCACAAACATGTTGCAGCTGAGTGTCACCTAAACATAGACAACACTACATAACCTGTGTATTTGGTCATTCATTTGTTTTCACACTGTATACGCACACTACTGTTTTTATTCACATTTGTGATATCAGCCGTCGGTCAGGATGGACTCTGTCAAAAGAGGGCAGGGCTTTTCCAAAAGACAAAAACAACAAGCAGTGCTACCCTATATGCTGACTTGACCTAAAGAGCATTGTTTTTTCAGTATGTTTTCATAAATGCAAAAAATGTTGAGTGAGCTGGATTATACCGGGCCCAGGCAACCGTTCACATGAATAAATCAATCAAAAGGAACAGAAGTAAATATCTGAGGAGGCATAATCCGTGATTGTTTCCCGGAGCAGCCCACAGCTGTCCTGCAGACTAAATGAAAAAAGCCTCAAGTCACAACAGCAGCGAAGGATTACGAGCTCATCATCTTCCAGCGAGCGCAGCGCCGGACTCATTCCTGCTCTCTGATCTGGGATGGGATTTTGTAGGGACTGGAATCGTTTGGGTCATGGGTTCTGCCTGGTGCACAGCAGAGAGAGGTGTGTTGATTTACGCTGATTTCATCTCTAGCAGGACCTTCTCCAGCTCTTTGTGTGTGCTCCGTTGTGGCTTTGAAATGTTGGTTTTGCTGTAAGAGTATGATCTGCAGTTTGCTGGGATGATTACAAATCTTAGTTTTTGTCCATTACACTCGATTTGCCATAGTTTCACAGCAACATGCACTATCCAGAAAGCAAAGGGCAAAAAAAAAGATTAACGTCCGGTGAACTGTTTTCATGATTTGGCAGAAAGATGATTTTAATGAATTTGATTTTAATAAAGTCTGAATTTGCTTATAGTGATCATATGCAACATTCATAAACAGCCATCTTTAATAGTGCAAACAAAGCTGTAAACATCGAAATGCATGCAACTTAAAGACATATTGTAATACAGCCACATGAAGTGTATATATAGTGTAATGCCATATATATATATATATATAAGTGACCCTGCAGCACAAAAGCAGTGTTAAGTCGCTGGGGTATATTTGTAGCAATAGCCAACAATACACTGTATGGGTCAAAATTATACATTTTTCTTTTATGCCAAAAATCATTAGGATATTAATTAAAGATCATGTTCC